CTTAGAGTTTAATGCTTTCTCAATTTGCTTAAGTTGTTTGCTGCTAACGACAAAAAAAAAAAAAAAAAAAATCAATAAAAACTATAGAAAAAAATTGCACTTTGTGTGTGTTGTGTGTGTGTGTGAGAGAGTTCGAGTATGCGTGTGTGTAAGTGTGTGGAAAATTGAAAAAAGTTACAAACATACATATTTTAGTTCGATTTCGTTTGCTATTGTATTTGTGATTCTTCTGCCGATGACAAGAAATGCAGGCATCCTTCCCCAAGAATTTTCTCATTTTCATTTTCATTGCTTTGCTTTTGGAATGTTTTGGCAAAATATTTCCCGTGATCCCTCGCTTTCACCCTCTCCCTCTAGAAACTTTTTCCGATGCCTGCATTAAGAGCTACATATTTATGTATGTCTGTGTGTGTGTGTGTGTGTGTGTGTCCGTGTGTGTCCATCCTGCATTTGTTTTTATTTTTAATTTGTTTAAATTTTAGTTCGTAGTCAGTCTAAAGCAAATTAATCATACGAGTAAGTAGTAAGAAGAAAACAAGAATAACATTTGCATATTTTGTTGAGGTTTTGGTTTTGGGCTTAGGAAGACTTTTGGCGTTGTGTTTCTTACTTTTTGTATATAGTATGTATGTTATGTCTATATAATATGTGGATATATATGCAGATGATCTTGTGGCTGATGCGACCTGACAGCTCTAAACCGAGATATCGTGTTGGCAGTCCCAGTCCCCATACACATCATATACGAAAATCAAATCAAATCAATTCAAAGACTTTGCTCAGGAATGTTGTTTTCTCTGTGAGTGTGTCAGTCAGTAGTGTCCCCTATGCGTCCTCTATGTATATGTGTGTGTGTGTGTGTGTGTGTGTGTGTCCGAATGCAAGTTGGCAATCCTGTCCCAGATCTGTCTATTCCTCTCACTCCATTTGGATCCGCGCACTCACATCCTTCGTTCCTGTTTCTCTTTTTTAAAAATTCGAAAAAATCACAAATACAATGGATGTCTGTCTGCGTCTATGTCTGTGTTTGTGTGTGTGTTTAAGTGTGTGTCTGTGTCCAGAAAATAAATATAGGCTAGGCTCTGAAAAAGTGTTCAATTTCAATTATAAACTTGCTTCTCCATTGTCCAATCTCCAACCTCCATTCTACATTCTACATTCTCCAAACTCTACTTAAGAGACGCTTACAAGACTAAAGAAATCCTCGCTTATCAACTAAGTTTCACTAAACGTAGTTCTTCTTTCTTACTGCTGCTTCTTATTTTTTTTTTTGTTTTTTCTTCTTTAAACATTAATCTTATTTTTTATTATATCTGCTCTGCTTCTCTTCTTTCGGCTGTTGATCCTAACTCTGGCTAACTCTTCAAAAAAAAAACTTCACTCCAACATTATCCCGTTCTATCGTTTTGCCTTTCGGTTTTCCCTTCACTTTCTTCTCTATCTTTTCGCTCTTCCCTTCCTCTTTCACAAAAGCTAAACTACAGTGCTACAATTTCCAATTTATTTTCCATGTTTTTGTTTTTTTTTTTTTTGTTTTTTGCTACTTTTTGTGTGTGTTCTGTTGGTTGGTTTTTGCTACGTTCCCTTTTATAAAGTGTTTGCCTCTTGGTTTCCTTTCCTCCTAATCATCCGTTTATCTCCTCCATCCGTTTTCTTTTATTCTCTTGCATTTTGCAGAAAAAAAATACTATATCTATCTCGGTTTTTACCTTTAGTAATATGTCTAAAAAACAGTTAAACGTAAAAAACTGTAGACAGCTACAAAAAATTCATTCATTAAATCGACTGATGAGCACAAAAAATATGCTAAAAACTAGTACAAGATTTTCTTTTCTCTGCCTCCTCTTTATCCATTCTTCTTCTTCTTCACTTTCACTTCTACTTCTAAATCTACTCGTACTTCCACTCGCACTTCCATCGTTTGCCTTCGCTGTCGCTTCGCTTATTCTCCATTGTTTTTAGATCTCTAGAGCTACTGAATCTGCTGCTTACTGCAATTTTTTCTTATATTCTTTAGGTTTTTTTTTTAGTTTTACTTTTTGTTTTTTTCGCTAAGTCTTAAACTAGTGTTCGCCCCACTTGGGGGGAATCTTTTTCATCCTCTCTTTTTGTTTTTCATTTAAAGTTATGTTTCGTCTTCTCCTTTGACTGCTTGGATAGCACAAAAAAAAAAATTAACGTCAAAAAGGGAGATAGACATGTTTTTTCATTTTCATGTTCATTTTCTTTTCGTTTTGTTTTGTTTTTGGATCTTTGCTTTATACAATTTGCATTTTCATTCGAGGAAATGGGGGAGAAGAAACCGAAGATCTTCCCATGTTTTTGTCGCTATCTACGCTTTCTGCTTCTGCTTCTGCTGCTCTCTCTATCTTTATCTTTCTTCTTCAGCTTCTGCTTTGTGCTGTTCAACACTGTTCAACAAAATACAAAATAAATATTACAAATTAGACAAACAGAACAAAACATAGGTGGGGGATTGCCTCCCCCTACTCTTCATTATAGAAGGCCACAAAAACAAAGAAAATGTTGCCTATAAGGTACAAAAAAAATTGTTCTTCTTTTTTCTTTTTCTTATACTTTCGCTTTCTTCGTGTTTCTTTTTCTCTAGATTTTGCTGAAGTTCGACTTAAGATTTAGGTTTTTGTTTTTTGTTTGTTTTTGTTTTCATCATCAAAGTGTTTTTGGGGGTTTGCTTGTTGTTTATTTTCTCCTCTTCTTCGTTTACTCTTTACTCTTTTTTTTAACATACATTGCACACATATTAATTTTTTTTTGTTTAGTTTCGGGTTTCGGTTTCTTCCGCTTCTCATCATTTCACTTCACAAATTTCTGTCTGCTTAGGTTTTGTTTTGCTAGCTCAAAATTAGCAAAATAGTTATATATTTTTGTATTCTTTCTTTTTCTATTTTTACATCCTCTTTCTCTTTCACGTCGATCCTCTCGCGGGGGATCGTTCGCCATGCAGTTTTCCTTTTGCTTTTCCTTATCTTTTTCCCTCACTTAACGAAACTAGATCTTAACTAGAGCTCCGACTGCTGTTGGATTTCCTTGCAGATGTTCCTCAAGTTATCCATTACTTAACTTTGCCCCCCGTTTGACTTTCTTTTCGTTTCCTTTCCTTTCCTCTACTCTCTTTTTTTGCATTCCTTTACTTTCCTTCAATTTCCCCCTTTCTTTCTTTATTTATTTTATCTTCCTGTTTTTTAGCAGTTCTCTTTTTGTAAATATTTTCGACTGCCTATCGTTTGTTGTTCTTGTTGTTGATTTTCTGATTTTCCCTTCTGTTGTTAAGCATCTTTGCTGTTTCTCTTTCTGCTTCCGTTTTCTCTGTGCGGATCCTTGCTGTTTTCATTTAGTGTATAACTATTTTCTATTATTTAAGTTTAGTCTTTGCTTTCTTCCCTTTTTACTCGTTTCTTTCTTTTTCCCTTTTTTTCTGCTTGGAAGCTTTGCTTTGCTTTGCTCTGCTCTGCTTTGCTCTCTATTCTCTCTCTATGCTCTTTGCTCCTTCTTCTCCGCTTGCCTACATGCATCTCAAATCATGTACCTCCTAAACTTCATCTCCTCCATTTCTCACTTATTTAAACATTATTCTGATTCTTAGCTTTCGGTTTCGGGATTTCTTCTGTTTTCTTTATCTTTATCTGTATCTGTATTTTTAAACATTTATTTTATGTGAACTGCATGGTTTTCTTGTCTTCTTGTCTGATTTATCCGATTCTGAATGTTCGATCTGTTGGTTGTTCAAGTGGTGGTGGTGGTGGTGGTGGTTATCTTCTATATCCGATGTGCTACTGCTTCTTCTGCTTATGCTCCTGCTTCTGATGCTCCTGCTGTTGTTGTTGTTGTTGTTGTTGTTGTTGTAGTGTTTGATGTTCCTCCTCCTCTTGCTCTGGGGCATGCTCTCTCACTCGTCCAATTTATATAGTACTCAAATGGGGTACTAACAGATTATAGCTAGAATGAACGAAACTTCCATTAGAGACGATCAAATATAATGTTAAACGATTCTCTGTAGTTCAGGGGATTTTTTTTTTGGTCTGGAGCGGTAGTGGGGGGGAGCGGGGGAGGACTCATGCAGTACATGGATGATATTTACCTAGTACGGATTACCAGTGATTAGACTGCTTAGTAACTATACTGTATATATGAGAGAGAGAGAGATAGAGAGAGAAATAGAGAAGTGATGTTGTCGATTGTCATTGTTGTTTTTGTTGTTGTATCATTAAAAAGCAGCATTAAAAAAAAACAAGTAAAATTACATTGGTTTTTAGTATTGATTGAAATATAGTATTTGATTGATTGATTGGTTGATTTGGTGGTGATTGAACAGATATCTGAAGCAAACAGGCAAGCAACAACAGGCAGCACTCAAAAACACATGAAGCCGATGATTGTCAGTGTATCTGTTGTTAGTGTGTGTGAGCAGTGTTGGCAAGTGTGTTCAAGCAGTGTTGGGAAACGTTGAATCCCTGGGAGAGGGCTCAGTTTCAGTTTTTGGAAAGAAGCTCTGAATGCAAAGCAAATGAAATGAGGAGGCGAGTGATATATGATCATCAATTTGGGTTTATTTGGTGGTGGGAGGTTGGTTGGGGGGTGTATGGTATTTTTGGTTCGAGAGACAGATCTAAGCTCTAAGAGCGCACGGCGCACATGCAAAACAGTGTTGGCTAACGCAAGAGATTCGAGTATCGTGTAGTGTGCTACAACCCAAAAATGGAATAAAGGAATGGCAACTAAATCAGTTTTTGATGGTTGGGTGTGGGTGGGGACGATGTGGTTGGGGGGAATGGAACACTCTTCTCTAGAGAACTTTATGGGGTGGGGTGTATTAGGGGTTGGTCTTGACAAAGAGAGCTTGAAGAAACTCAGACTCAGAGATTTATAGAGAGAGAGTGAGAGCAAAACAGGGAACAGAGACATAGAGAGACAGAGAGTCAGACAGAGAGATGCAGAGACAGACAGAGAGAAGAGAGAGACATCACTCACCTCGCGAAGACCTATTTGGGAGCGGCTTGATGTGGATACTGTGTGTATGCCTCGTCGGGTGATGCAGCTGTGCTAGCCTGTTCGGAATCTGTCATTGGCATTGTTGGTATAATAGTTGGTTGTGGTGCATAATATGGATAAGTTGGACTAATATACTGTAACGATGGAGAAAAGTTCTATAAAAGAAAACCGAAAAGAAACGAAAAATGTATATAGAACAAACCAAAGCAAAACATTTCAAATAACAAAAAAACGAGAGAAAGGAATAAAAGAAAAGAATAGAAAGAGTACAAATTATATATCAAATTATTGAAGATATTATCATTCGAGGCGAGGCGCACACAAGAACACGGCCTCGGTTCAAGGAGTGCCGCTTCAGGTGTGGCATGTGGCATGGGGCAAGTGGTAGAGAACTCTCTTTCTTTCTTTTCAATCCAAGCAGATATAAACCATATATATATTTATACGTATATGGATCAGATATATGTATATGCTATATATCTGTGCGGGGGTACACTTCTTTTTCGAGAGAAAGAGCCTTTACGGACATGCGGGGGGCCATGGAGGATCGGTCGATTGCTTACAGAGTTGCCAATCTGCAGGGTGGCCAACTGTGGCATCATAGTTCCATATGGCACGGCCGTGTCGCCACTGACCATCATCGAAATGCCGCGTGGTTGCACCTGATTGACGGCCTCCGGCTTGTATGAGGTGACGCCCAACTGCGGAGCGGCAGCCATTTGCATGTACTGCAAAAAGAGAGACGGAATATTCTATTAGTTTCCCTTCCATTCTTTCATCAAAGATTGCTGTCACTGTTGCTGATTGTTGTTGTTGTTGTTGTTGCAACTCACCTGATCGTCTACCTGAGCGAGCGGTTGGGTCATCATGTAGCCGGGTATCCACTGGGACCCAGCCACTGGATAGCCACCCACCTGGGGGGCACCGAAACGCGAATACGGCACACCGATGGGAGTGCCCACATTGACGCTGACACCGTTCTGCTGCATGCTCGGGTCATAGGTGACGGGTATGCCCTCGGCGGAGACATCGCGCCACGCACGGGCATTCGGGTCGGGGGTCTTGAAGAGATTCTTCTTTTTGGGTCCGCCATCGGCGAACTTCACCAATAGTGGATCTTTGGCACCCGGTATTGTGTTACCATTGAACATCTGAATGATTTGCTCGCACTTTTCGCGGCTCTCCATGCGGGCAAAGCCAACGCCTAAGCAAAAAGAAGAATGGATATATTTATCTATGATCTATGGGGTGTTTGAGGGGCTATATGCTTACCCTTTGAGTTCATCTGCTGATCACGCAATATTCTGGTCGAAACAACTTGTCCGTATTTCGATAGCATTGCCTCCAGATCAGTTTCTTTGAAGTGGGGCGGCAAATTTGCAATATACAAATTTGTGGGATCCTGTTCCTGTTGCTGTGTTGGTTGTTGTATGCGGATTTCGGGTCAGAGTTCAACACACACGCACACGCACAGGGTTGTGGAGAGTATTCGTTGGAGTATTCGGTGGATTGGTTGATTGTTGCGTTTGGTGGTTGTTGGTTGAAGATCAATCGAAGTGAATCAGTTTTTAGTTTGGATTTGGTTTGGTTTTTGATTTGTTTTGTTTTGTTGTTGGACACAAATGTTAAACGTTACACAAAAGCAATTGGCAGTAAGCATTGTTGTGGTATAGGTGTACGTGTACGTGTACGTGTACGTGTGGGTGTGTGTGTGTGTGTGTGTGTGCATATGTATGTGTATGTGTGTAAACGAGAGACGGGGAGAGAGAGAGAGAGAGAGAGAGAGGGGAGTAGAGAGAGAGATTAAGAACATAGAGAGATTTTGTCATTAGTAAAAATTCAAATTTCTTTCCAAAAATGTATCTGTGTTGTCGAACTCTTTATCTGTGGCTTGTCTGTTGTCTGTTGTCTGAGTGTTAGTGTGCGTGTGTTAGTGTGTGTGTGTGTGTGTGTGTGGGTGTATCTGTGTGAAGTGTGCCTGACTGCTATGAGAATGTATCGGTGTATGAATGCCTCACAGACTTAAGCAATATCTTAAACACAACACAAAAAAAGGAGCTCCCTCTCTCAGAGAGAGGGAGCATCCATAGACCTATCACAAAATATATACCCCCCCGAACTTTTCGATATAGATAGATACAGTATCTGCTGGTGGTGGTGGTGGTGGTGGCTTTGGCGGTGTTCCCTCATACATGTATGGATATATGACAGACTGGAGATGGTGGTATAGAGATGGCTTAACTAAGTTAAATACCTGATCAGCTGATTTAGTATATGGTATGTCTTAGGGTTTAAATGAGATCTGTTTGTTGTTGTTTATACTTAGAGTTAAGATTGGTATTTGGTTTGATTGATATTTTGGCCGGCACAGGTTTGTAGCAATTTGCGTACTCAAACTCAACAAACAACACAACTGTTTCAAGAGCAGGTTGCAGTACGAGTAATAGTTGGAGTAGTAGTTGGAGTAGTAGTAGTAGATGGAGTAGTAGTAGTACAGGTTGGTGGTTATATACTTTTTTTTTTGTTTGGCTGGCTATAACTTCAAAATACACGAGTATACGGTTTATACAGTTGAATATGTAGAATATATATATTTAGTTGAATATATATGAATATATATATATATATACGATATATATATGATGTAATAGCAGAAGAGAGAGAGAGAGATATATATATATATATGTAGAGAGAGATTCGATTCATACGCTATATATATTTACTTGTTTCTATTTGGAGATGTTTCATGTGTGTGTGTGTTTCTATGGTTTTTCTATGGTTTAAGGCCTACGCAAATACCAAAGTACATGTGTGTTTTTCGGTGTGTGTTTCGATTATTGTTGGCCAACAAAACCTTTTTATTTTAGCCATGTTTTTGCATGTTTTTTAATGAGCATTTAATGCCACGAGAGGGGGAGCCGCATAAGCTCTTCCATCAACGATAAAAACTTTTTGATTTGTTTCACAAATTATTTAATTTATGCACGAATGAATGGCTAAATAGCTGCAGACTCCAACAGATTCCAACAGATTCCAGCAATCCATAAGCCTCTGTTAAGTGGCTGCTAATTATTGTTTGTGGCATGTTTACAAGTGGAATGTCTCCACCCCCCCAAAATGGAGATGTGGCGAATGGGGGGTGGCGGGTGTTGGGTGTTGGGTTTGGGTTTGGGGCGACTTTCTCTACTTAAATCAATGAGTTTTTGTTTTTTTTTTTTGCTAGAATCTACCCATATTTCCCAGATGTTTAGGAACTAAACTACAATCCAAAATCAACTGATCAAAAAAAAAAAAATGATATTCTAAAGATTGATGTATATTTTACTTAAGTTTTAGGATAAGTTTTCTTTATAGCTATCTTGAAATAGAAACCAAAATGGATCAAAAGGATGGAAAATACTTAAAGAAAATATCAAAAGTACGAGTTCATGTTATTATAAAGTATACCCAGAGATTATAGAACACATAGATGAAGGATCATGATCATCGTCATGCAAGCAGTGGTCACTGCCACATCTACTCTCTTTCGAGGGTCCATCCGTAGTCTGTAGAACGTGTCTCTGAGAGCCGCCCTCGGCCGAAGGCAAGCAATCGCTTGCTCACTCTCACTTTCTTCGTTACACTTCGCTATACGTCGTCTCATTTAAGAGAGGGATCAACAGCTTACGCCGCTCTTGGTTGGAACATCTTTACATCTGCTTCAATCTGTGTGTTCTATAATCTGTGGAGTTCCGCTTTGAAAGTAAGAATCCCCTAAGGGGGGTGTAATGGTGGGATGAGGTTCAAAAATGTCTAAATGTACTTCAAAATAGAATAAACGTATTTTTTATGACTAACTTGGTGGATTATACGAGTAGGGGGCTGTATATACATAAAACTACACCTAAATCGAATATCTTTATGGAGGATACCTATCTATATGTATACTACGAGTACGAGTATATACCATACATACTGCAGTATATATGCATGTGGTATGCTGTGTATACCTAATGAGCATGAGATTATACGCTATAATTACAATTAAATACCTGTACTATAATGCTTAATGCAATTAATTTACCAAAACAAATCTCTCACTTATGGACACTATTGGTATTTTTTTTTTTTTTTTTTTTTTTTGTGGTGGAGTATTTCTGTATTCAATAATTCAATTGTTTTTTGCAACTGCTAAAGGAAGATTAAAGAGAAGGATTATTTATTTGATGACTGTCTGCTTCATAACTAATGAATGCCATTAATAAATGCATTAATTCTCAATCGAATATATCGAATGTACACTAATTATAGTCATATCTATCGATTGTTTGTATCCAATGGAACACTACCTCTAGCGAAAAAGAAAACCAACAAAAGGGAGCGTTAAGTTCTAGAATTTTTGGTTTTTCAGGTTTTTTAAATACTAGACAAATTGTTTGTAGTCTCTAGTTCGGTTATAATGGAGGATAAGTACGAGTATGTGTGGTTTTTGGTATACGACAAACGGTTATACAAAGAGAGTCTTGAAACAACACTACGAGCTAGGGGATGGGCTAGGGGATTGGTTTTGGGTTTTGACAGGACACGGGTTTGGGGCAGGATTCGAGAGGGATGTGAAACAGAAATAATACAGAAAAAAACGTGAAAAGAATACACATGTAATTTTAAAAAAGAGATTTGCTTTGCCACGCTTTGAAAGGAGTTTTCCAGAAGAGGATTAAAAACTAATCGAAACTTAATCAGCCATTAAACAAGGAGGAGAGAATTCTAGAGAAAAACTTAGAAAAAACTTAGATAGGAGCTAGAAGAAGTAGAAGGCAGCTGGTGGAGGCGTGGTCAGTACAGTAAACGAAATGAATAGATGAATTGGAGCTGGATTTAAGGCGGGTGGGGATTGATATGGATTTAACTGGGGTTTCGACTGGGTTTCTCAGGTTCTGGGATCTGGGGTTCGGGGTTGGGGTTGGGTTGGGAATGGGGACTTCTTTTTGGGCGGTGTGTGGGGGGTGAGTATTACTTGCATGCAAACAAACGTACAATGGCCGGCCTATGAAGCACCCAGATACCCACTTTGGCCATCTGAGCTTGCACGCCCTTCCCCTGCAGTCCCTTGACGGCGCACTCGGCGAAGGCTGGCTGCTCGAAGTCGACGAAGCCGTAACCTGCAAAAAAGCATATTTTGTTTTTGTTTTTCGTTGTTTTTTTTTGTTGTTGTTTGTTGTTGTATTTGTTTTTTGTGTGTTGTTGCGGGTTGTGTTGACGGGTTGTGGGTGGGGGAATTTTTTATTTATTTTTATATATTTTTTTAATTGCATGTATAAATATATATATACGATATATCGAGATAGAGACAGAGAGAGAGTGTGTGTGGTGTTTATTTAGATTTCCAATAGTTTTTGTTGGCACACAAATTGAAAATTGAAAACGGAATTCAATCAAGAACCGATATAAAAAAAATGCGAATAAAATAAAACGAATATATGTCCGTATATTTTTTGGTGTTGGGTCACGTGCAACGAAAACAAAATTGAAACAAAAACAAAATATTTATTGAGCGGAGCAAAGAAAGAGAAGAAAAAACGGGTGATAATTTAATTAATAATTAATTTGGCTTCAATTCAAGTAAAATACACATTAAATACTGCAAAACAAATCCAAAAAATAGTACAAAAAATAGACAAACTTAATTATACGAAATATTCATAATATAATGGAATACTAGACATCTTTTTGAAACGAATCAGAGAAAAATTGTGAAAAAAATCCAAGAAACAAATTTGAATAAATGCTAAAAATACTAAATAAAATACTGTCAATACTATAAATAGCGAAATATTACTGAAAAATACTAAAAAGAACTCGGATCTTTTAAAATATATAAATTAAATCGGAAATGAAATAAAATCGAAGAGAAAAATCTATATTTATATTAATACACGCACACACATCGACAGAGAAAGCCTTTCACAGTTGGACAAATTTTACAGCTTGTTCAGTTATCGGTTATATTATAGTATATATATAGTATCGTTATGGTCATTGTCATTATCATTATCATTATCATTAGCAGTAGAGTAGTAGTAGTTGGGGTGCATCTGTAGCAGTTGATAATACTGGTAATACTGGAGTATGTTGTATACAATATATAGAGTGGAATGCATGAATGACACGATTGCGAAATGAGAAGGAAACGGAACTCATAAAACAATATCCAGTAGAAGGGAAATCAAGTGAATAATCGGAATATTTCCAATCGAATCATTTCTTTGGTATGGTTCAAAATCATACTGTATCTACACAAAAGCATAGTACACAATGTATAAATATATATTTTGTATAACGAACAAGCCATAATAATATCTGACGTTTCAAAAGAAAAACCAATTTACAATAACTAAATCGAAGTGGGGAAAATGCTGAATACTATGCTCTCCAATATCTAGGGAAATCTATTCTTTTCGATCTTTCAAGTCTGGAAATTCTTTGAAAAGTATTCAGAATTTCTTAAAAATAAAAATAAAATAAATAAACAAAAATTAAAATAATATTTCAATGAAATTTTAGTTTTCTCTTTACTTTTTTTTCGTTTTTGTTTTTCTTCTTTTTTTTTTTGTTGTTTTGTAGTATTTTTATAGGTATTTTTTGGGTACATAAACACATACTAATAATACATATACGAAAAACACACATAAATAAAATAATGATGAGAATGGTGAAGAAAAAAATACCTTTACATTTGTTTGTTGTTTTATCTAAAATCGCCTTGGTTGATATAATGGTTCCGTATCTGCAAAAGTTGTATACAAAAGAGAACAGAGGGGGAGAGCGAATTAGAGGGTGAGCCATAGTCGAGAGTCGACGATATATGGGAGGTATGGGGGGAATGGGGGGAATGGGTGATGGATAGGGAGAGGGAGCGACCACAAAGAGTGCGATAATCAGATTATAAACACATTCATGTATCTCTCACTCTGCGTGTCTGTCTGCACACTACGGTGTACCTGTGTGCCACGTGCCACGTGCCACACAAATGTTGTGTTGTACCTTTCGCATAAGTAATTAAAGTCCCATTAAAATGCAATTTTTATGCTCGTGGCGCTCGAAAGTAGGCAATGGTACGCGTATCTGTATCCCATTTGCACCTCTGCGGAAAGGATACAACGAACGAACGAACGAACGAACCCTTTCCGTATCCCTTCCCCGTGGGCGGGGATACCCCTTTGAATTGCTCATTTATTCTTGCCCCATAATTGACTTAGTCCGTGTGTCCTGTAGCCTGTAGCGCTCTATTTCTGCCTGACAGCCATCCTGCCTGACAGCCAGCCGCCAGGCTGCTTGTCAGGGCGCCTGCTGCCTGATTGCCTGCTGCTGCTGCCGGTGCCTCTGCCTCCCCAGTGGGTTGGGGTTGGAATTAAATCGATATCTTCTTAGTTACAACTCCCTTCCCCCCCACCCATTGAACACCCCTTATAAATACATAGTTATAATAATATTACAGCCTCGAGGCAAGGCTAGGCTTCGGCTTTCCTTTGCCTGTGCCTGTGCCTTTTCAGTGTGCCTTTTCCCTTCTCTAATAAGCCGCTTATTTTGATTGCCTGCAGCGGGAGATGGAGGCGGGAGGCGGGAGACGGAGAGCTGCAGAGAGGAGTCTGCACTTTCTTCCCCGCTCGGAAAAGCTGGCAAAAACAAATTAACCTTCTATTTAATTACTTGACTTATTACCAAGGAACCTCCGCCCGCGCACCTTCCCACCTTCTCCCTTTCCTCCTGATGATTTTCCATTAGTTTTTTATGCTTCTGTGACGCCACTAATAACTTATTTTTTATGTATAAAGGAAAATGCGAGAGGCGCAATGGAAATGGCATTCGTTCGTCTGTTCGTTCGTTCCTTCATTCGTTCGTTGATGTTGACCCATAATTAAGTGGTGGGGCACTTGTGACAGGCGGGCGGGGGCACGCTGCGTATGCGTAATACTACACACTTAATAATACGTTTATTTCCCCACCCCACCGCCTCACTGATTTTTCCTTTGCTGGTGGTTTCAGCCCACACCCCCACCGCCCCCACAAAAAAATTAATTTTTTTTTTTTTCGTTTGTTTGCGGCCATTGATGAAGCGTGCGCACTAATTAGTGGATTTTGTTTAGTTTGCAGAAACTTTTGATGGGAGGGGGGCCGGCGGCAGGGGCAGGCTATCACATTTTTTTTTTTTTTGGGGTTACTTTTGGGCATCGAGCAAAAGGAGGGTGGCTCTTGGGTGGCTTTTGGGGGTGACGCAGTCAAGCGGAAGGGACTGAGGCTTAGCCCCTCATTAGCAGAAGGGATGACGCTGTGGGAAGTGGTGTGGGGTGTGGTGCGGTGCGGTGTAGTGAGTGCTGTGGTTTCGATATGGATGTAGGGTTCTATCCCACAAAGCGAGAGAGAGAGAGAAAGAGCAGGGGAGAGCGAGTGAGAGCGAGCGAACCCTCAATCAATAGTCCGTCACATACAACATTTCGGTTACGGATGGCTGCTGGGCATTTGGTATGCTTGATGTGGCTCCAAGCAAACGAAAAACTTCAAGCCCCATCTCAAAGATACAATTGGCGATGGCCAGGAGGAATATCCTTAGAGGAGCAGCGGCAGAGGCACACGATATGACTATAAGGCATGCCCAAAGATGCCCAAAGATGGTGATAATTTCTCAAAAGTATCTTAAGGATGGCAGCCACTTGTAAGTATCAATCTTTGGGTGTTTGCCCGGACTTTGACGAGGGAAAATTACATTACGCAGATGCGAAAATATCTGAAACATACATATACATATGCAAACATCTGTTTAGAGGAAACAAATATCTGCCTAAGAAACTGGAATCTTAAAGTATCTTTTTCGTATAAAAAGGGGAAGGCAGTCAACGTTTAGCTTTTATCATAAAGATACAGTAATAACGCAAAGATACAAAAGTATCTTTTGGTAGGAAACACTACAAAAGTATCCTCAAAACGTATACTTTCTGCTCGACTCAAAGTTGAGCTCTTCCTCAAAGGAATTCCACTCGTAAAACACCCAATAGTTCTGCTCAGAAGCCACGCCGCAGTAGCATTTTCCATTATCGTCGAAGGAGAACTGCATAGCGACTGTCTATCTTCTTATTTTCCGCCTCAAAGACCATCGCCCATTAAATCTCTTGCTGATGCTGCTGCTGCTCCTGCTGCTGCTGCCTGGAGCGACACAAAAACAATTAAATTGAATTTGCATAATGGCTGGCCTGCCGCCCAGGGGCACATCTCTCCTCCTGTCTCCTATAATACAATTTAATATGATAGGTAGACCGCAGAGACACAAGAGAGACAAGGGACACCGGACACCGGACGCAGGACACGACCGCAGGACAGGGAGCCAGCAGGCTGCAGGCTGCAGGCTGCAGGATGCTTGATTGCATTCATATCTGATTTGAAGAGGCTTCTTTTTAGAGGGTAAGCGGGTGACGGGTGACGGGGGGCGGGGGGAGGCTTTACCCCCCGTCTGTGTATCTGTGTACTCACTGTGCACACATATTAACTAGATCCTTGTCGGTTGTGCCTTGCTGCAGTCCGCGTATATAGAGATTTGTCTTCGACAACTGCTCGCCGCCCTGTTGGTTCTGATTCTGAACGGTGCCGTTGGGACCCATGTTCGTGTTGGTGTTCGTCGTGTTGCTCAGGCTGGTGCTCAGTGTGCCGCTCTGGGAGCCGGTGTTCGAGGAGCTGCTCGAATTGGTGTTGCTCGGTGAAGCTGCCGTTGGCACACGCTGGCCGTACTGCAAAAAAAGCGAACAATAAAAGAGAGCACATGAGAACGAGTCTATACAAGTATGTATATATATGTATATATGTATATTTATATAAGTATCTGATAAGTATGGTCAAGAAATACTCTGGGGATACTCCCCATTGTACGTGCGTTTCCCTTGCCATAATCTGTGCCTGACGATGGCTAAAGAAAGACTCTTTTCCTCGTAAGCAAAAGTATTTTTATTGAAATTCCATCTGAAAATAGCTGCCATTCGAAGTTATTGAATGCTGGCTTCTGGCTGCTGGCTGCTGGCTTCTGGCTCTCTGGCTCACACAATAGATACGGATACGGGGATACGGCTACGGATAGGTGGTGGCGGGGAGTGGGATAGGTGGCAGTAGGATGCATGCCCCAAGAGGGAGACATAGAGAGACATTGGCATGTTGACGACAGCCATGACGATGGCGTTTTTCACTTAAAATGCCACACATGTGCGCCAGAGAGAGACGGCAGATGCTAGATGGCTGCTCCCTGCCAGGACTCGGCTGCAGGATATTTTGGCACTCGAAGGAAGGCGTTGAAAATCTATAAAATTTGTATGCAACAAACAAAAGGCTTTCCATTCCATACCATTCCATAAGAATGCTCTGCCATTGAGATACATTTTTTGAAAATTTGCCAAAAAACATTATTTTATTCGAGCGAAAACGCTGAAATATGCAAAGCCATCGCGGGCACAAACAGGCAGGCATGGGGGAAGGGGGGAAGGGGGTAACAGGGAGGAAAAGTAGAAGAAAAGCAGAGGAAAAGTTCAAATGCTAAACCGAAAATCAAGCGAAAAAAGGGTTAAAGGGTGACCCTTTTTTTCGCTTTTTTGCACCCAACCACAAATCCATTTGCATCCAGCCTCCAGGGGGGAGGAGGGTAGGGGGAAAGGTGCTTGGGTAGAACGGGGCGACGGAGTCTGGCTCTCTAATTGATCCAGAAAGAAAAAAAAGAAACTTATTTGAAACAAGCGAAAACATTCTCAATCTCATTCTCCCATTCTTTCAATCTCCAATGGTCAATGGTCAATGCTCATGTCAGCCAGCGGCCATTGCGGCCAGTTTGTGGGTTAAATTCAATAAAAACCACAAAACGTTTAAATTTGTAATTGAATTTAGTTTGCATTGAAGTTGAATGCAACATGGATACAAAATGAGATTTCCAGTGGCTGGAGAAAAGCCACTGGCGATGCTACTCCGTTGGAGAGCATCATAGTCCTTCCAGTCAGTCACGATAGTAGCTCCTTGATTTCCGCACACTCCCCTAGCCCCGACCCCCGTTTAAATCACATCCATGAGATACATTTCAAGTACAGTTTAACCCTAAATACAAAGAAAATTCTCTCTCTCTCCCTGTCTCTGTGGCGCATGTAAAAACATAATTAAATAATAAATTCCGCCAGTAAATTGCAAGTCTCGCAAAGTCAGCGAAAATCACACACACACACACACACACACGTCCACTCGAAGAAAGAAGCGAAAAACACTCATACGCCCTGTTGTGTGCCAATGAACTTTCCGCGCATTCTTAGCATTCGGTTGCCTCTGCCTCTGTTTGTGCCCCTCTACCCCCTTCCCCCTCTTCTTGTGTCTCTTGCTCTCTTGTCGTGCCCTGTCTGTGGCCTGTGTGCCTGCCTCTCTGTCTGATAATGAAATTATATCGTTCTAATAATTTTATGCACAGCACAGCAACGAACGGAACGACGGACAACGAACCGGCAAATCATCGCATAAACTACACATGAAACCCCAGACAGATACACACACACACTGCTATATGTCTCTTCTTTTTTTTTTTTATGTGTGTCACGCCAAAATCGGCCAAACGACAAGTTGGCTGTCGGTTTTGTTTTTCTGTTTTTTATTTTATTTAATTTTTATCCCCATTTCCCCCGCGTTCACCATTCCCCATTGGCTTTGCTTTTGTTGCTATTCGCTCGCTTCTTTTTTTTAGTGCTTTTTTGTGTTTCTTTTTTTTTGCAAAAAATTGCGTCATTTGCAAAAAATTTCACGCTACGAATTTCTGCGCGCAAATTCGAAAGTTGTGTCTCTCTCCCTCTCTCTCCCCACTCTTCACACGCTCTTCTCTTTCGCTTTATCTTCGATCAATTCTTTGTCTTCGGTTCTTCGATGGGTCTTCGTCTGGCCAGTTCCTTCTGTGCCTTCCTCTTCCGCTTTTCGTGTGTGGCCGAGACACACGTGTGCCCTGAGACTTTGGCCAAGTGTTCCACCGCTGCCTATCTGCTCCTTTCCCCTCTTTCTCCTCCGTATAAGCAGCACACATTAGCACACGATGATAGTTTTTTGGATGTGTTAACGTTAACCCCTCGCCTGTCTCTTTGGACGATTATTTATGCGCATTTAATTTGTTTACTTATTTATTGCATTGCCACGAGGCGGAAGGTAGTCGGGGGGAGGGGAGGTAGGAGGTACTCGTGCAAGCCCCTAGGAAGAGCAGAAAATGGAGGGAGGAGGGAGGAGGTGGTGCCGGTGGAGGTGGAAACCCCCGAAAGCGAAACAAAAAACTAAAAATACCATTTTAATGGCATAAGCGCAACTTTTTGATTGCCTCGCAGCCAAATGGTAGGACGATGCGAGGACGAAGGGATGGAACAAGGAAGGACAAATGGCAGGACGACAAACGAGAAACGATGTCGTCTTCGATGACGATGTCGATGGCGAAGGAACACGCAATTGTTAATGGCCTCAAAACTTATGGCCCGTCATTTCGTTTCTTTCTCCTTCTTCCTCTTTTTTTTGTCGTTTTTTTAGGAGATTAGACAAATGTTCATGGGCTCTGAGAACAGGGGGGGATCAGGCGGCTCCTTGAAGGGCTATAGGCGAAAGAGGAGAGCCGGAGGGAAAAGGCAGAGCCATGGGAAATGTCTCAGGCCGGAGATACGAGCCCATGGAAAGGTTTTGGCAACAACTATTCTGATATGGGTCCGAGGAGGGGTCTGTGGAGGGGTTGGGGAAGGGTCTCTGATGTCTTTTTCAGATATCGATTATGAAGATTGACAGACGACCGACAACCGTTCTGTTCTGTCTAGAGCGAAAAGCTCTAATGCCCCAAGAATTTTCCACTTAAAAGGGGTCAAAGGGGTCAAGTGTAGAGTCAGGTAAACAGAGACAGAGAGATAGAGAGAGCGAGAGAGAGAGAGGGAACGGAATCAGTGGAAATCTTTGAGGCAAGAGCCCAAGGGAATATCAATCGAATTTCACAATAAACCTCCATTCATCGAAAGATTGAAGCAAATGACAGATACAGATACAGTTGCCAATGCAAGTACAGTGGGGGCTCTTTATAAAGGATAGGAACCACAAGGTTCCGATCTAAATACTTTTGATGAGTGGAACTAAAAGAAAATTGATTAAGTTTTAGTTTTATTTTCATTCGAAAATTCTATCTCAATCTCATGTTATCCCACTCCCATCCCATGAGACATGTAGATCTGTCATTCTACATGCACATCTCCCCCTCTACATTGGATTCTACATGCCTTACTAATTTCTACATTCGAATTTACATTTCCTTCTCTTCATTCCTTTCTACAATTTCTTCTACATGGGAATCTACATTCCTTTTACATTGTCTAAAATACTCTACATTTCCTTCTACATTCCACATTCTACACTCCCCTCCTCTACTTTCGGGATCCGTTCGGCCTACAACTCTTTTTTGAGTTCAAAATTTTTAGTAAAATATTTTTTCTAATATTCCCCCAAAACTAACAAAATAAAAAATGGCAGTGCGACCTATAGGACCCGGCCCCGGCGCCTATATGCTGCCCCCAAAATAAAACCCCAAGAGAAATCACTATTCAAATAATTAGGAAACTGAAAACCCCAAGGTGTGATTTCGATCCATTTCCAACCTCCCCATCATACCCATTCCCCTCTCCCATCAGCCGTCTCTGGTCTTCACTCTCGAGCCTCATGTTAACATCTCCATTAAAAAGTCATAACGAAAAGATTCTCAGAAACAGAACCGGAGATCGAAGATCTAACCATCCGTCGTTTGGGGGGTCTCTCGACGAGTCACGTGCCGCCGCCGCCGCCGCCGCCGCCAGAAACAGAAACCGAAGTGCGAAATACAAATGGACTTTGGGTTTGATTTATGGATGTCGCCACATCCACAGCCACATACTCGCATAAAATATAATTCATTTAAGTCTTTGCTCTTTTTGTCGTCTCTCGTGAGTGGCCCGCCGGTGGGTGGGGTTGAGTGCAATCATAATACGAGTAATATTTCCCAGTCGGTAAATCAGAATCAGTCTCAGAAATAAATCCACTCCATCATGAGATTTAGTGAGACATTTATTAAGAGTATTTGTCCGAGTGCTCCAGGGCTCAGATCTGTCCGTCAAATTTGGTTAACCAGAGGAAAAGAATGTGGCTCAAAAGCCTGGACATGGGAGGGAGGGGAGCCCCACGTTCGTGACTGCTTAACGGCGAGGGCAACTCCTCTTCCAGAGAGCCCAGAATGAGAAGCCATCAAATCAAAGAGCAAAAAGCAAAAAAGCAAAGCAGCGGCAGGTGGAAGGGGGAAGGAGAGGAGGCCTTAATCCCAAAATTTTCCATCTGATTGCAAGGGTGGAAGGAAAAGCCACATAAAAATGCCTCTCACGTGACTTATATAAATTAAATGCGTAGCAGAAGGACGTGGAGGCGGACAAGGGAGCAGGAAAAAGGAGAAACCGGAGGAAAACCCGGCAGGAAACTGAAAGATACGATAGATGGATGGATATTCATTCGAACGCCAGAGCGGGAGAAAGAGAGAGAGAGAGAGAGAGCAAGAGAGACGAGGAAATGCTAACCGTCATCCCATCCGAGAGGAGGGTTTACCATTTCCCACCAAATAATTGACGCAAGTCATGCTGCAGAGGTGGCAGGTGGCAAAAGTCAGGGCTTCCGAGGGCTCCACATGCCAATGCCAGCGGAGACAGAGACAACAAGAGAGTGAGAGATGGAGAGCTTTCCCAAGAATTTTTCGTATCATCTG